AAAAAGACATGATTATACTTCATGTAAGACGTGCTTCTCAAACAGCTACTTCTACAGCATTTCTTCTGATGTCTACATGATATATAAAAGTGTATGTGTTAAGATCAACCCTCATGCTCCCAGAGACAAGTCCTCACTGCAGACAGCCAGTACATCTACACTTATCTAAGGAGAAATGTGTGTATAAAAGTGTATAAAAATGAAGTAGAAGAATCATGCATCAGTGTGAGGTGAAGAGTTGATAAGAGTATCTGTTGTACGCTACCCTCCTCTCCACTGGACTGAAGAGTTATGATACTGACCCTGCTCAACCTCTGGTAAACTCTGAGAATCACTCATCGAGAGGGGTAAGGGGAGGAAAAGTGTGTGTGTGTGTGTGTGTTGGGTGGGAGGAAAGGGGGGGTGATGGTAGCACTGAAAGGGGAAAGGAGGGCAGAGTAGGTGGAACAAGTCAAGCTGACACAGCTTCAGTGTATTCTCAATATTGTAAATAATGCAGGATGTGCTGTTTCTCATGGATGTTGTCTTCATTCATTTTTAACTGGTTCAGTTACACAGTAGTACTCCAGCTGCATGCCTGGGTATGTGCAGGTGTACGAGTGCAGGCATGTATTTAATGTGATAAACTCACCTTTCAGTAGAGGTCACAGAAAAACAAGCAGGTTAATGGCTCACTGCTAATTGTTTTTTGATTGCTGGAGTTAATTAAAGCTTAGAAATCCACTTAAAAACAGATATTGGTGTTGACCCGCACGCTCCCTCTGTCGTGCTGCTTCTTTGGCAGTGATTCAGGAAAAAAGTCAAAAGACTTTATGGATTCATATAAAACTGACCTGAGCTTTTACATCTAAAAATTACTTAACTTCATTGTTTTGATTACAGCTACCAATTAAAAAGCCCCGATTACTGCCACAGTGTTGCGTCGAGATGGGTGTCATGATTACTCTGCCAAGACAGTCTTCCCTTGCTTGTTTATCATGTTTTCCAGACCATCAAGGATGCTGCGATCGCCACAATTAACACAAATTGAGCCAATCCTTGTAAATTCTGAGCGACCTTGCAATTTTGTCCAATCACCACAACTTACACAAATTTGACTATTTAAAAATAGGTAATATCTCATTTCATTGCAGAGCTGCACACAGCTTTTAAGTCGCTCAGCCCCTCTTTCTCTCTGGGTTTATCACGAGACTACTGCTGCAGGACTGGAGCTCTTTGTCTGGGACACAGTCACGCACACAGTGACAGGGCTAACTGTTAGCATCACACCGCTAACGTTATGCAAAGGTTATTAATGTAAAGCAGGTTTCTCTCTTCTGTCTCACCAATAAACTTAGTAGTTACTGAATTAACTATCAAAGTCCACTTCAATGTCCGAAAAGAACGTAGGACAACTGAGCATCGACAACAATAGTGGCATCTCACATCTTATATATATGTATATATATCACTCCGCCAAACGTAATCATAACTCTCATTACCTGCATATAAGGTGCACGATATTAAATACTTCCAAATTTTTAACGTAAAGAGCAAAATAAAATATGTAAACAATATATGAATGTAGTTAACATTAAATCATGTAGATGCAAAATGATGAACAACGGAAAACAAGACAATCTACTGGTTATGTTCTCAAGAAAATAATTCTCATCTTACATTAATAAGTTTAACAACAGAGCTGAGCCGTTATGGGGTCAGATGCTAAACGCTGCTGCAGGGCTTCAGCCCAAGCCGCAGAACATGACAAGTAGGGGTGAGATCACTTTGTAGGTAGGTAGGTTTATTTGACAACAATTAAAAAACATACATGAGTAACTGCAGATCAGTTTCATATACATTAATTAAAAATCGTCGAGGATTAAAATACACAATAAAGCCCAAAGGCTTATTTCCATTGCGATGACAATAAAAGCTGGCAATTGGGTCAATGTTTGGTGTTAGCTCACGCTAACCAGGCAGAGAGGGCAGGAGGACAGCGGCTCACGGAGGCGGTCCTTCAGCGCTGCAGCAAATGGCTATTGCACCCCCGACCCACCATCACAGATAGAGAATAATTCTGTGGGAAACACTGACTGGTCATGTTAATAAGCTTTCAATCTGTAGCGACATCACAACTATCAATATATTAAAAAAATAAATGATAATGTAATTATAATATAATATAAAAACAAAACACCCCTGAACATTGCAGCACACACTGCATTTATTTAGAAAAGCTGGAGGTGAAATTATGCAATTCAGACTGGAACAATCCCAAAAATAGCCCGTGAAATCCTGGAGAGACTGGTTTTCATGTTTACAAACCTAGAGTGAGCAATATCACAGGAACAGCAGACACTGTTGCCATTTTAGAGCGGATTCTCCCTTTAAGGCCGTGCCACAGAATGCCTAAATACAAGGCTGAGAGCAAGGACACAGCGGGAACTCCAGTCCTCTGTGTGCTATCTGAGGCTCGGCAATACAGCTAACTGCATTACATTAGTTCGTATGGTCAGACACATTGTTGATGAAAGCATCTAACCTCCACCTCAGCCTTAACTCACAGCGTGTGTGTAAGTGTGTGTGTGTGTGTTGAGAGAGAAAGTGTGTTTCTGTGTCGGTGTGTGTCTACGTGTGCTCGGGCTGGTGAGTGAGGGCTGCCTGGGGCTCATTGCTCATCTCAGTGGGTATAAATAGAAAAATAGAGAGCCAGGAATATAAGAGCATCATAGTGTGTCTGTGGGGCGTCTGTGGGGTGGAGCGGCTGCTCAGAGCTGGAGGAAAAAAAAACGTTAGATCTGATAGGAGGTGGATGGGCCGCAGCATTCAAAGCTAAACAAATGTTGAATGTAATAGCAAGTTTGGTTTGTCATACTGAAACCATATCAGATGGAGCTGCAGGATGTAGAACTGTGGCGGTCTCCCAACGCAATACCAAATCCAAACAGTAAAGATATGATTTTATTTTACAATGCAGAATTGATTTTTAAAAAGCTGAGAGTCTGATTGCCATTTTGTGCCTTCATGCTGCTGTTTTTACTGTTTTGTTTGCTGCTTCATTAATTTTCAACAGGTTCAAAACAACATACTCAGAGCAGAGTTTGCAGCACTCGTCTGTTGTTGCTGGCTGTTGCCTCAGCACCCCCTGGTTTGTTTTGGCATTGTTTCCCCTGTGCACTCACTCAGGTTTTTGTGTGATTAATGTCATGTGTGGAGATGACTGCTGTGTAGCTTATGTGAGTTTTTATGCTAATCTATCTACTTGCTCTGTCGCCATTTGGTATGTGTACGGATTTAAGCTGCGTTCAAAATCACTCCTCATTCACTCTTTATGAGTGAATGAGGAGTATGAGTATAGTATGAGTATAGAGTATGAGTATAGCACACACACACTCAAAAGAGTAGTTTTATCTATAGGGAGCAGTTAAATGACATTCATGACAATTGTGAATCCTTGCCATTTGGTTTCATTACTAACAGGTGTCGCACAAAGATCATTCCTGCACCTTTAAAATGCAACACACTGCACTGTGGGATGGTTGAAAGTAGTTAATATGCCACAAACACATCAATTTGATTATGTGGAGTTTTGAAGGCACAATATATTGCATTAAAGGGACAGTTCACCTCAAAATTGAAAATACATATTTTCCCTCTTACCTGTAGTGCTATTTAGGGTGCTTTCACACCTGCCCTGTTTGGTTCAGTTCAATCAAACTCAAGTTTGTTTGACTGCCTATGTGCGGTTTGTTTGAGCAGGTGTGAACACAGCAATCTCACTCAGGTGTGCACCAAAACAACCAGACCGAGACCACCTCTTCAAGAAGGTCTCAGTCTGGTTGGTCTGGTTACAAACGAACTCTGGTGCAGTTTGTTTGTGGTGAGAACGTGTTCCGACCTCTTTACGAGCATTAAACATTGTTTGGGTTAAACATGAGCATGTTACAGTCCTGGAGGATTATTAATGTGCACCTCCTCCTGTACTGCCTTAATATGCACATTCAGCACATCCAATGCATCAAAACATTGTTTTCTAGTTGGAGCCGCGCCTCGTTTTCAAACTGTATGGTTTGACTAAAATGAACAATGACAGCAATATAGTCCACGATGAGCAGCGCTAAAATCAACCTGCGTAGTTGTCCCTCCATTGTGACATTAGAAAGTGTCACATTTATCCTGCAAGTGTACTCTTCTTCAACGTTTGCTTTACTTCCTGGATTTTTCCCACATGGAAATTCTGACCAATCAAGAGCAGCTTTCTCACACAAGGCATTTGATCTGGTCCGCTTGTAAATGCTGCCCTGCACCCTTAGAGAGATTGTTTGGATGTGAGTCGCAGAGTGCTGGCTATATCAGTCGCATAAATGTAATCTTGATATAATGGAATTAGATGGCACTCTGCTTGTGGTGCCCAAAACACCAAAATATTACATTTGAAAAACTCACAGCAATGTCTCTGTACAGAAATTCTTGACCAGGTTACTCAAGATAATCCACAAACCTTGTTATGAACAGTTTCATCCAGGAACAATTTTCTTTCTACCAAACCACAACCACCAACCATATCACCATGCATAAGGAAGTGTGCGTCTATTGCTGGCTCACATATCAACACTGAGGAGGATACCATTAATATTTACATCTCAACACCACGAGCCATCACCACGAGTGACATCTAGATCCATTATATATGAGACAAGGCAGAAATCTTTACGGCTGATACTTGGCAACTTACACCAAAACAATCTAGACTGATAAAAAGCTCTACAGGTAAGAGGAAACATGCGTATTTTTGAATTTAGGATGAACTGTCACTTTAAATTCTCACTCAGAATTGGGGCGGAGCAAATAGGTGAGTGATATCAGACACAGTCAGAGCTTTGGTTTAACGGCAGCTGAACAAAAGGTCAAAGTGGCAGAACAGATCGCAGGTCGTTATGTGATGACAGGACGGCATTACTCAAAAGATGGTGTGTATGATGGTCGCAAACACTGTGCTATGAGCACTGACTACATACCTGGACGTCACCACACCTGGTGTCCATATCACTCCTCAAAGACGGAAAATGCACCTGTAGGAGAGAGTGAAGGAGAAACAGGGAGGGGGAGGGGAGAGGCATATCATTAAGAAAAAGCACTTGTCAGGTAGCCCATTAGAGTACCATTACAATACCAGTCTCTGCTCCCCATCTATCCCTCTCACACTGTGTATGTGTGTGTGTGTGTGTGTGTGTGTGTGTGTGTGTGTGTGTGTGTGTGTAAAATTCTCTTTGTGTGCCTCTAGTCACCAGCGGGGAGATGAGATCATTACCTGTGACTGCGAGGCTAATGTCACACTCAGCCTAAAAACACACACACACACACACACACACACAGAGTGAGAGAGTGACATGCACGTACACACACACACACACACACACACACACATTGAGACTAAAGAGGCTAATGTGACAAAACTACAGTGACCGCGGGGCTTGTCTCCATTTGGATAAGGCAGCCTGTTTTACAACCTGCTTCCAACACTGGCAGACAAGAGAAACAAGAGGATAGAGAGAAGAGGGAGGAATGACAGAAGGATGAATAGAGGGGCATCTAATTGGAGACATGGTGGGAACGAGCAGCCATCTCTCTGTTTCTGGTTCAGAAAAAAAAAAAAAAAAAAGGCGAGCTGCACTGTACGGAGAAAAAGGTACAGCTGCAGACTTAATGTATGGCTCGGAATAAGCTCATTAGCAGTGGTGGGAATGTGAATGACAGATACGGGGAGATGTAGAGGGGGATGACGGGAGGGGTGGAAATGGGTCAGAAGGTGGAGATGACTGGCCTGGCCTCTAATTAACTTCTCCATCAGCCCTATGGCTCTTACTTCATATTACATTTACAATAGTACGGCTGCAACAACATGACACTGTCTGTAGTGTGTGTGTGTGTGTGAACGCAGGAATTCTCTGTCACTACTTAAGCACACATAGATTTCATGTCATTTAGAGAAGTTGTGATGGCTGTTTAACACATGTATGGATTTTAAGTTTCAGTTCCAGTGTTTAATTTCAATCTTGTCTCTGGAAAGGAAGCTGAATCAACCAATCAACTTGTTTCTAACCCATGGGGCATACACAACGTGTTGTGGAGATTTGGGAAGTTTGCGAGTCAGCTCCACTACAGTTGGGTTGATATCCGGTTTTGATGGTCTGGTCTGGTGTATGAGCTTAAACCAGTTTGATTTCATGCTAACCAGCTGGACTGATATTTGTCATTATGACATGTCAGAGCAAACTAAACAGTAGCCTACATCAGCAACATGTGCTGATGGGGTCATAGTGCTAAATCCAACTTATAAAGCATTAGTAAGAAGCAACAGGACAACGTGACAAAGATAACACATTTCTAAATGGACTAACGGAACCACTAGTGCCTGACAGGACTCTAACTGAGCACCAGCAAAATAAAGTAGCTCAGTATTCAGGGGCAGTGGAAGAGGAGACAAGCAGCACACGTTGAGTTTGTTGACTACAAAGTTAATGTGTTTTTTGATGGTGATGAAAGAAGCCATGGCAAAGAAAACTGCGCCAACTGATCCGTCGCTAAGTCCCACCTCCGGACGCAGACTGGCCAATCATAACGTAGCATCAAGCTGGCTCAGACCAGGGTCCGACAACAACACAGCTGTGCTCCATTGACTCTGATGCACTCGTTTCAGATTTCCTTCATTTCCAGGCTGGTTTTGTGGATTTGGAGCTAAATGTTGTGCCTGGGGCACGTCGTGTATTAATGATACTTGTTACCTGCAGAGGTTGGAAAAAGATATACGTTTCTTCCCTGTTCCAAAACCAAAATCAAACCCTGTAAAGTGTAGGGTTAGCTAGCTAGCTACTGAAGATATAGCCTACTGAATGTATACACATGCTGCTTTTGCTTTTCAATGATTATAACAGTGAAACAAAGACCGACCCTGCTGTACAGGAACCAGTGAAGGGAAGCAGGGAAACTTTGCTGATGTTCAACCAGCTGTGTGTCATCACAGTGTGCGCAGATGAATGTTGTTTGGATTCCCCTGGAGATCACTGCCTGTCCGGCGGTGGATGTCTGGGTGCTGGCAGCGTCACGAGGTCGAAGCCAAACACTGTTCATCTGCACACACTGTGATGCCACACAGCTGGTTCAATATCAGCACAGTTTCCCTTGATATTCATTGTCTTGTGTGGCGATCAGCAGTGATGTGGTGGTTCACTTTTACACTGTGATCTGTAGCCTATAGTTCGGCTTTAGCTTCTAATTATCTTTGTCTTTTTAACCTGTTGTTGCTGCTGAGTCAGTTTGACATCCTGGATAAATCCTTCAAACACAGACTGTAGACCCCTCTGTCTGCTTCTCTCTGGAATCACTCTTTCATTTCTCCAAAAATATGATTTCTTCAGGGAGTGAAGTTAGTTACAGTGTGGGCTCCATATTTACTCCGACAGCTTGTCGGACCATCACAAAGGGGCGGGGCTTAGTGGAGGGTCAATATGGCAACATTTTGGATTTGAAGCCGATGAAAGAGCGATGCTGTGCTCCGTTTTGAGCTGCACTTTTGACTTGTTTCTATTTATTCTTGTCGCTCACTTTGAAAACACTGCAATGGACGAGTAACGGCTAATTCATGAAACTGAAATGTGGGATTTTCTTTACGATGCTTCATTTATTTTACTACAAAAACTAAATAAGATGGCAGCTGGCAGGAAGGAGCTTACCAGGGAGTCAAAAGTTTATGGTATGACGATCACCCATAACAACCAACTTGCCGTTGGTTATGTAACTTTCCAGTAAATATCTCAAAAATGTGTTTTCTGATTTAAAAGTACAAACATAGGAGGACAGCAAGGAGGCTACCCATCTTTTAAGCAGTAACATCCACAGTCTGATCGAGCACACAGCTAATAGCTGTGTGGTTTGTTTACATGATGCGACAGAAGAGTATATTTAAGGGAATCAGTGTGGACAGAGAGCTCTGATGTTACCCACTGCAATACTCAGTGGTCATTATGTTTCACCAAGGAATAGCTGCTGAGTCAAGTGCGACACCTGGTAACATTTGGTATAGCAGTCATGTCCAGTGTTTGGCTTAATTTCAAAGTGGTTTAAAGATTTTTTTCACCAGCGCAACCCTCAGCTCCACTGCCAGCCTCTGCACCCATAAGTCTCCTCTCTACATTAATCTGCAGAGATATTTACATGCATCTTTACAGCAATGTAATTACTATATAGAAAGGGAGGTGGTGAAGTGTGTGTGTGGGGGGTATTTTTAGTGTGACATCATGGAGGCTTATCCAAAGTCTCCATTGCTTTATGAAGCTGGTAAATTATTGTAATGCACACCACTAAAACACCATGACCTAACAGCAGGCTTATTAAAGTCTCCAATTAAGAACAATAATAACATTTCAAGGGCTGTATTATCATGAAATCTGTGCTCCCTCTCTTTCTCGCCTTTCTTTTTCGCTGTTACGATGCATGTGTTTCCTTCACGCCGCCTGTTTCCAGAGGGAAGAGTGTAATGTATATACTGCAAACAATCTGTAGTTACTCATTGTTGTGTTTCATAAATTGAATTCTAGTTCCATGCAGCATGAAAATAAAGCTAGAGGTGCAGTCTGTGTTTATTCTTGTGCTGCTTAGATGCACAACAACAAACTGTGTCAGCACACACTTCACCCCCCACACTGAAATACATATGGTAATGCCGTGGCTGGCTCTCTCTCCTCCTACAGCAGTCCTCCCCCTCTCCAGTCATCTCCCTCCTCTTCTCTCTCTTTAATTGTCTCTTTCAATCTAATTTTGTTTCCAATTTCAATTACTTAAGCGTCACATTAGCATCACTGGTAAGCACAAACAGTATTAACAATGCAATTTACAAAACGTATGATTTAACCCTCTCTCTATTTTTCCCGCTGCCCCTCTCGCTCTCACCTCCCAAACATGCACACCCACTATGTGTCCTTTTCATAATCATGTTGCAATCATGTGAAAAAGCGTAGGAATATTAAATATTAACTGCACATTCATTCTGGGCAAAGCAGAGTATGGAATGAATTAATCATGGCGCACAAGGCTGTCTAGATTCTTATCCTTTATCCTTATCTGCCTTCATGTGCTGTGAGGATGCGTCGCAGGAAATTAACAGGGGCCAATGAGAGGAACCAGTGTGTGTACTATATGTATGTACACACTATATATGTGTGAGTGTGTGAGAGTGTGAAACCTGTTACTTAATGCCACATTATACTACTCATTCATCCCACAAATGTTTTTATGAGAGTAAAGACATCTTTTTAAAGGAGCACTCCACCCCTGTGTGACGTCACCACAGTCATCACATTAACTAGTCATGGATAGTATCTGCTGAGACAGTGGAAACAGTTTTGCACTCAGAGCTGAGTAAATGACCCTGATGAGGTCACAGTGAAGTCAGCAGAGATACCTCAGCTTGGGCCTGTGTAGCCTGGTAAGATGTGAGCTCAACGTTCTGTTTCACCCTCTGTATCAGTCTGAACTCGGTGCTGCCGGTGAGGGATCTGCACCGAAGCTGACAACGTAAGCAGCAAATCAGGGACCGCGTTGTAGTTGATGACATAAAATGCAGGCTGCAGGTTGCAGAACAGTAATGGCGGCTCCGCAAAGCAACAAGCATTGACTTCAACATTAGTAAACACAGCAATAAGTGAAATTATTGAAGAAATAGAGTCGATAACACCAAATAAACAAGGACAAGAGTGTGCATTTGCAAGCTCAATTCTTCCGCTGACTCCATTTGTGATGAAGATGTTCCCCAGTGTTTTATTACGTTGACTGGCTGATGGAGTTTGTCTGTAAAGTCAAGTAGGCCTACTCCCAAGTCCAAACTGATATAGAGAGCAAAACAGAATGTTGAGCTCAAATTATGAGGATGGTCCGACCAGGCTACTGAGGTTGTACTACGAAGCAGACTTTGGGGTTAACGAGGTAACTTCAGGGTTAACCTTGGGCTTTCAATACTACAAAGCTGCTTTACTTTTAACAAGGGCTGTCACAAATAACACTTTTGGGGCTGCAG